GAAATCGTTTATGGCCTTTGAACGTTGCCTCAGACAACATATGTCCCCATCTGACCTAAGCTTTTACTGAAAATACTCGCACACAGATTTTCCGGCTCTCGTTGGCATCAGGAAGCACATACTTCAAATGTGACAAAAAATTAGGAAGTTCAATATAAGAGAAGATAATTTGCGCACATTTCAAAGAACACAAACATCAAAAAACAAAAAAAAGGCAAATTTCAAATTTGCAAAATTTTCAGCAAAAACAGTTCACACTTAAATCAACTAAGAACAAACAAATATTTTGCAAGCAACAACCACAAAGTTAAGTAAAACTGAAAGACCAAAACTATTAATTTTTTTAAATCGTTCATTTTGTTACATACAATATTTTTATGAGCTTTTCAAGGGTCATCAATGAATGTCTTGTTCTTGATGGAATTTGTGAGGGAATAACAAAATAATAAATGTAATACTAGGACAAGAGCATATTTGCCCAGAATTTGGCATTATGATATAAAATGACCAGGTTACGAGATCAGTACCGCAGCAGTAATAGCGGCAGGGAAAGTGCCCATATTTTACCTATACTTTCACTATCGCGTAATGTCTGGACCCCAGTTAATTCGAAATATCGGCCTCGAAATCGACACTATTATATAATAATCATTTTTAAAGTGTATACGGTCTTTGTCTTGCTCGGGCCCTTTACGTGCAAATCTGACAAACACGTTTAGAGAAATATATTTTGGGTTTTTCGCATTTGATGTAAAAAGTGAAGTATTCGAACGGGATTTCGCAACATAAGCTTGCAGAATTTAACGACATTCAAAAAAGCTCCGAAGTAGGTATCTGTGCAAACCCGCCCCAGTCGCTCGTACTTCTAAGTGGAGAAAAAGCGTAATAACGAAAGAATTTGTGGCATTGCTTGAAACTGGTTTTTCGGGATTTTAGACCGTCGGGGAAAACTATTCTTGATTGAAAACAAACAAAAAGAAATTCTCTTTCACGGCGGTATAAAAGTTTTAAAAATATTTCCTTATTATTGAGATGCCAAAGAAAAAATTGCAAGCAACATATGAAGGGAATGCTGGTATTTTGTACTTTGGATTGCGCATCATGTAATTAAATTGTGTAATGCCGAAAGCGCGTGGCAGGACATTTATTACAGCGTCCTTGTCCATTTAGTTTAATTACATATTACACACTTGAAATGGTAAAACTCCCTTTGAAATTCTATTTCAACTACTTCAAACCTGCAAATTAGAATTGACTACAAAAATAGGCGGTTTTTTAAATTTGTAATTCCGATATAATATTTACACAGTTTTATACTCAGAAAATTGTTTTCCTTCCTGACTGGTGTTCGTTTTCGAGAATCCTGGCGTTTCAGTTCTAAACGCAGTGCTTTTTTGTGCATCTTCTGGTTTCCAACCAAAGCCTGTTAAACTTGGCAAGTGGTGTTAAAATTTCAAACAGTATGGAAAATGCCTGAAAAAGTAGAAACATTACAAATAATGCAACAACAAAAAACTGAAAAAAAAGTGCAGGATTCTTATGATTGGCAATTGAATGAATGTATTTTTTATCACGCTTAACGATTTTCAATAAAGCCGCTGCTGCTTTCAAAGCAAAGCGATCCATTTGTGGCTTCCGCTAAAAAAATATTCCCAAGTTTGATTATTTATTGAAAAAGCCCAAGCTGATTTACAGCCGACTATTAAATTTAATGTGATATACCGATAATTTGAGTTAAAAAATAATCACCCAATCAAACATTACTATAATCAATTCCAAAGGATCATATTATGCAAATTTGCAAGAATCTGGAATTTATCTGAAAAATAAATTGCTTCATTACGAAATGCAGTAGACACAAAATCTTGAACGATCATTCTCTCATATATTTTCCAGTATTGCAGAGCAGATTTTTTCCAATTTGTTCCTATGTAAGATTCATCTTTCGATGAAACAGCCGAGTTCATCCGCTTCTGGGCATGTGAGGAATTCTTGAATGTCTGGATGCAAAAACTATCAGAACTTTTTATTTGGTAGCTGGAATCGATTGAATTTTTTGTAAAATGTAGCATCCATAGCTTTTGCGCAAAAAATTCGTCGTAAAATTTAAACGTCGTTGTAAGCGATAATGTGCTTTTATAATCAAGAAATTGTCAAGGGTTTCATCATTTTTAACTCACCGACATTAGGAAAGTCTTAGGCCCGGTAGTCTTTTCGAAGCGGTTTCGTCCGAATTGCGTTCATCAGAACTATCACGAAAAGAAGAAGCGAGTTTTTAGCAAAATATGGCCCTGACGTAGGAACAAATACACTGCAAGTTTGATTTAAAAAAAAGCTTTTTTACTGTTAAATTTTAAAAATGTCAAGCGAGGATTGATGCATCAACTCAAAAAAACACAGTTGATTCCAGCTACCGAATAAAAAGTTCTGCTGGTTGTTATACCAAGACTCTTGCCCAAAGCGGATAAACTCGGTTGCTTCAACGACCTTAGTCTTGCATAGGAACAAATTCGCAGCTCGTTTTATTTAAATCTTCTTACCATTCCCCCGATATTAAAAAAAATATATTTTTGAAAAATTTTGACTATCAATTGCAGGGGAGCCAGACATTTTTTCTTAGTAAAAGTAAGGTCAGATCGTCTTCTTTTGACTTCAGTAGCCTTTTGAACATAATTCGTTTAAATGTAGATAAGTTCTATATTGTTGAGACGGATTCATTTTTTTACAAACTTCTTTTTGGGTATTTCGCCTCAAAAATGTTTGTCTTTAAAAAAGACAGAATTTCCTCACGTCTTTTATTACAGATTGATAAATAGTGCTCCTATTTCGCAATAAGAACGAATTATTTATCAAAAAGTAATCAAGAACTATCACCTAGAGGGTATCCTGCCACACACTTAGGATCAAGCTGTAAGAGAAAATTCCAATTAGTAAAGAAATTAATTTGAAAAATTACCTTGACGTTTCGATAGCTATTTTGTGCTATCGTTGTCAATAGAACCTAAATGAACCTAAAAAAGAGTATGTTAATAAATTGTGTAACAATAGTAGGATAATACAGTATACGAAAATTCGAAAATTATTATTATTCCAAATTCTTTTATTGAAAAATATTTTAACGAAATTGAATTCCCACCAACAAAACAAAATCAAAATAAATCTATTACAAACCTTTTCATTCCATTTATTCCAGGACTTTCAGATCAAATTAAACGAGTAAGTAAAAAATGTAATATTAGGACTATCTTCAAAACTGAAAATACAATTAGAAGTAAAATTTCAGTAACAAAACCTCATGATATAATTGAAAATA